ACTGAAAGATTTTCGCTGTCCCATGACCCTGTTGGCATAGTTGTCTGATTGTTTTACCAACAGAACTCAGTGCACATCACTGGGTTTTAAGACGTCAAAACATTTGGTGTATAATTCAGGAGTGCTTCAAAGAGTTGTCCTTTCCCCTATATTTTCCACCCACATTATTGACCTGTCAACCAGTTCTCCGTCACCTTATTTAAATATGCCGGTTGTGTGGCTCTCTGCCAAGTTATTAAACTCAGGATTTCTAGTTTTTCCTACAACCTGACCGGTGGTGGTCGAGTGGTTTGGAGCCTTTAATTACCACTTTGGTGGTGGACAATAATCCACTGCCGTCCGACTCGTCACCACATCTAACCTACTGGGACCTTATGTGGTTCTCCACCCCAAGTCTCAGAGTCTAGTTGCGTGTAATCCCCAATAGTGGGTCTTTGTGGATAATGTCATTGCGCTTCTGTGCAAGCATGTGATGAAAGAACATTTACGATTTCTCTGTCCGATCTGAATTAGTTTTCAAGATGTCTCAATGCTTTGAATGGAGATTCATCCCCTCTTGAACGGCTTATCTTTATGACCCATCTATCAGTTCCTCAGAATCACTAAGTGGATCAGGTCGTGTCAAATATGTGAGACTAATTATCAATCCAAGTGTAAGTTGGTCATCTCACATTTCAAACTGTGAAGGACCGTGTAAAAAATACTCAATAACAGCGCTGTTGGCAGAGGACATTCCCGAACGACTCGCATATATATATATTATATATATATATATATGTATATATATATATATATATATATATATATATATATATATATATATATATCAGGTCGTGCGTACAACATTTGTCTAAATTCAAGCTGTGACAATTAGAACATGGCGCAACCAGGAAGGAATGGGTAGATGGAGTCAGGGTGAAAAAGAAAAGCGGAAAAGCAGTTTTTCGTTTTGTTAAGTGCACATTTAGCATTTTTTTGTGTTCGATGATCACAACAAAGACGAATACACTCCCGCCACTGACCTCGGTTTCGAGCCATGTCCATTAGCGAAACAAACCATCGTTCCTCATAATCTCTACCGTTCCAACCGGGCAACCGAGACGGCCCTACACGTGACAGACTCCATTAATTTCTTCATTCCCCTTCGCCAAGTCATTGCGTGTTTTCCACGCCCTTTCTTACAGTCAGGCTCAGGGAGCACAAACAATGTGCTAAGCGGCAGGCGCTGGGCAGACATCCCCAATACATGTCCTAGCCAGCGGAGACAGTCCTGCAATAGGGTCTTTTCTAGAGAGGAGTCGGTTGGGCCAAACACTCAACTGGGTACTTGATCATTGTTGACGCGTTGCTTCCACCGAACACGGAAATGCTACGTAAGCAGCGGCAACGAATATGTTGAACTCGGAGAGGCCGTGTTTCACAACCATACAGCAGCACGGGGCGCATGGTGGTATTATACACTTGGTCTTTCAAGGAAAGACTGATTTCGTGTCGGCACCAGAGATACCTGAGGTTCGAAAAGCAAGTCTGGCCTTTGAAGTACTCATGGATGTTTCCTCTTTGACATCGTCATTTCCAGTAATACAACTGCTCAGGTAAACAAAACTTTCTGTAATCCAGTATATCGTCGCCCAAGTAGAGCACGGATTCATGCTTTCGCCAATCCTGGAATAGCACGTTACATTTTGTTGTTGCGAAGTACATTTGGTACCGAGCCACTTCACTTGTCATGTGGTTCAGTAGAAGCCGAACTGCTGTGATGTTTGAAGCGAGCAGGACGATGTCGTCGGCGTATTCTAAAATAGTGAGTTTGTGCCCTGGGAGGAGTTCGACACCACCATCCACGAGGCCCTCGACCGATAATTTAAGAGCGTCGTCAACTGCGAATTGAAGGGGGAACGTCGAAATAAGACACTCTTGTCGAACTGCATTGGGGACAAAAAGGGGGAGGATGCTTACTGTAAGCTCTTACTCATCCTGAAGTATTACGGTAGATGGATTTGATGATTGATACATACTTTTCAGGAACGCCGTTTCTCAACAGGCATTTCCACAGAACAGTTCTGTCAACCGAATCAAAGGCTGCTCTGATATCCGGGAATGCGGTGATGGCCGGTCTTCGGTAAGTGTGTCGATGTTCCAGCAGCTGACGGAGGATGAATATCTGATCGATGGGGCCTCGGTCAGGGCGAAACGCCTTTGCTCATCACGGGTTTTCTCCTCTCTGTGTGATGACAGTCTGCGAAGAACAGCAGACGCCAGAACCGTGTACGCAACCTGGGTTAATGTGATTCCTCTACGATTGCCGCAGAAAGTTCGTGATCCTTTCTTGAATACAGGGACTACGATCGATCCCATCCAATCCATAGGAACTTGCTCCTCTTCACATACTTAAGGGGGAACATATGCGTTAACTCTTTCACCATATCGCATCCTGCATCTTTGAAGACAGTTAGTGATAGGCCGTCTGAACCTGAAGCCTTGTGGAGCTTGAGGGATGCAAATGGTGCTGGGCACTACGTTCATTAATAGGTATGGCAGTTGGCGCAGGGCTTCAGTTGAATTGCAAGTTGAAGTGTTCAGTCCATCTTTCTAGGCGTCAGTGAAGATTATGGACAGGCATTCCGTCAGCTTCGCTGTCTGTCTCGCTGGCACCGCGTGTCTCAGTGCCGGTGCTGTGGATAATGTGGAGTAGTTTTCGTAAGTTCCCGGAGGCAACAACGCATTCCCACCAACAAATCGCACGGACGTTTCCTAGGCTTTTAGTGAGCTCATGTTTTAGGGCCAGACGGGCTTTATTGGCGGCAAATTCCGCGGGGATTGAATTGCGGATATCCATAAGTCGGAGGGAGTTGGCGTTATTCAATGAATAACCATCATGGAGGTATGCCGCAAATAACTAGACAAGCGGATTTCAGGGCCGATTTGAGAAGAACCCAATGTTGTTCCAGGGAGAACGGCGGGATGTCGCTCAATCTATCTTTCACTTTATTCAACAATGTGGCCAGCATATGAGGCTCAGATGCTCTGGAGAGGTTAACTCGAGATACCATCTTTCTAGTTGTTCCACCAAAGCACATGGAGAGTGTGGCATACACTAGTGCGTGATCAGAATCAAAGCTAGTTCCCCCGGTATGAATGACAGTTTTGTGTACATCCTTACCATCTGTTGCTAATTGCAATGTGATCTTTGCGAGCCCAATCTTGAGTTGACGAAGGAGGTCGCTACGTTCGCAAATGGTGCTTTATGTTTCTAAAGCTGGTGCTGGATAGAAACAGTCGGTGATAGAAGCATAAATTTAAAAGCCAATCATCATTATCCGAACAGCACCAATTAAGGCTAAAGGAACCTTGTAGATAATGTTCAGTAGGCTCCATACTGCCGATCTTAGCATTCTAGTTTGCAGCTAGAATGATGATGTGCGTCTGTTGCCCATTGTTATTAGGTCGTGAAGGCGTTCATATAATCTTTCCTTCGCGGCATCCGAACTGCAATCTGTGGGGGCATACGCATAACCCACAAACAGGCATCACCTGTTAGTTCGTTTTCTGCTTACTCTGCATGAACCTCTGATTCGTACAGCACATAGTCGACTGTCATCTGGAATCCACTATAGAAGACCAACCTGGGCTCTATCGTTCACGACTATTCCACGGTCTGCTTGGCCAGAGGCCTCAGCTTCAGGATCTTCAGGACAGCGTAAAGGAAAAGTAACGTTCTTTTCGGTCGGGGATAACTTTGCTATGTGACTAGGGTCTGGAATGCGGGTCTCCTGTAGGCAGCAGATAACAGCACTAACCTTTTCCAAGGTGCTTGCTAGCCCAGCTTGTTGACTTATGCGCCTCAGAGTGCGCACATTATGCGTCGCAAGTCTGAATGGTGAGCGTGGTCGGAGGAGAGGTGCTGCATCCGGGAGTGGATGGCTGGACCTGCTAGTATATCTTGGCGTGTGTCTCGATTCTGCATCAGTGTTGAAGGAAGAAGACAAGGGAACGGGTGAGTTTGTGGGTGGTTGTGCACTCAACGGAGAGTGTGCAGAGCGATTTTGTGACCTATTCATGGGCGTGAAACGCAATCCGCGTGAAAGAGAACGAATCACTCACCCACCACACAGATTCACGTACACATATGCACACACACACGTGACATGTCAGCGCTTCCTTCGAGTTATTTGATTGTAAAATTGCCTTGAAAAATGTTAACCACAATAACCGAAACTTTGGTGAATTACATCCACCAACAACGCTGTGTTTTTGACATTGTAACTTTCATGACAAAAACAGCACATGGCACATTGAATTTCCGATACACTCCTTACATCGTGTAAGGAGACTTTGTGGGCTATATCACCAAGTACGAAAGCCCAGACATTTCAACGTTAAAGAGTACCATTTCCCTTTCGGTTTATCAGTGTTTTTTTCTGTTTTCCTTTGATGTTTCCCCTTTATTTTTTAACGATCTGCTGAAGAATGATTTCAAAATGGTATGCTGAAGACCGTCGATTATTAGTTGGATATCTTTCATAGTTACCTGGTAAATTGTACAAACTACGCCTGGCCGCATGTGAAAAGTTCGCTAACGAATTCCTTTCAGACTCCATTCACGCTTTATGAAGTGATCTATGCAAGCAGAACTCTCTTGCCTCCACAGGTTTCTCTTTTCCATGCATATCCTTTCGGATTATCATCTACAGGAACTCTACTGTTCCTTATCCGGTCCGAATCCCCACAAGCCGGGAGCTCTTCTCAGCTGAATTTCTTAGTAATTTTTGACTTATAATCATTATTTTTATTCCCCCCATTCGATGTGGGTCTAAATGCAATTCTTCCTCGACTGAAATGCGGACGTCTATCTATGAAAATGTTTTATCAAGTACAAGTGAAAATACTGATACCAATATCACTTGAACATGCTTGTTCCTGTCGACTCATATGGTAGCAGTCTATCGCTTCATTCATTCCCGTTGTCTTATCTTTCCCATATTCTTCATTTTTCGTAGTAAATGCGCGTTCCCCATGTGGAAAAGGAGCTCGACGAACTCAAACACGCGGAAGTGACCCGATCACACCCGGCCCCGATCTGAATGATTACGTACGCTTCCCATCGATTCCGCACTCAGTGTACCGCAAAACCCAGCGAAAATTATGGGCCTATTTTCACGAGGGACGTTGTTCATCCCCGTCTCGACATCGCGAAAGTGGCTATTGTACCTGTCGCAGATGTCGCAGGGATCCAAAATCCACGGAGGCAGACAAACCTGTCGATTTGAAGTAAGTTTGTTCTCGTTCTTTTGATTTTCGTAATTTCTGAGAGAGTTTTGAAGAAACTCGCGATGATTTGTTCCGACAGATCAGCTTTCATTTTTTCGCCGTGAAGTTAATATCTTGAACAGTTGCCCTAAAAAGAAATGAAGGGACATCATTTTCCTTCTCTGCAGTTGTTGATCAAGTTGGCTTATTAGTTCAGAGTTTAGGAGGCGGATTCTGAGACTGGAAAAACTCGAAAGAAACTGGTACACTGGACTGTTACGTTTACGGTGCCAAACCAAAAGTATATCTAACAGTTTAGACGCAGTAGTGTATCAGTGGTCAACGGAAATTCCCGTCACAAAATTATTAGGTGTTTAAAGTGGTCAAATCAATGCAACAAAATCTTAAACTACATTGACAAGCCAATATTCCATTGGTTCGCGATTCGTGTCCGCTTCTCGGGTTTGACTGAACAAGTTTTCATCAATATGTAAATAAATAAATATATATGTATTGATAGTAAGTAGTGTGTTAACGTGTGGACAAAATTCCCACGGAAGTACACGACCGGTTTCGCGGTTGTTGCCGCTCATCAGGTATGCGTACCCGGTACTCCTCTGCCCACTCGTCCTCGTAATTGTACACTCCGATGTTATATGTTCACTAGAATCTAAATTGGAATCGCCTGGAGTGTGAATGGATACTCTTCATTGAAGAGCCCAACAATGAATCATAACTGTGATTTCTCATAGTTATTCGTGTCTGGGTCACTGCTAACCCAACGAACAACGAGGCTGCATGTGCAAGCGATCATATTGGTAGTTGTTCGTTGGGTTAGCAGTGACCCAGACACGAATAACTATGAGAAATCACAGTTATGATTCATTGTTGGGCTCTTCAATGAAGAGTATCCATTCACACTCCAGACGTGTCAAATAGGATTCTAGTGAATATATATATATATATATATATATATATATATATATATATATATATATATATATACATGCAATGGCGTCTTTTCTAGAGAGGAGTCGGTTGGGCCAAACACTCGACTGGGTACTTGATCATTGTTGACGCGTTGCTTCCACCGAACACGGAAATGCTACGTAAGCAGCGGCAACGAATATGTTGAACTCGGAGGGGCCGTGTTTCACAAACATACAGCAGCACGGGGCGCATGGTGGTATTATACACTTGGTCTTTCAAGGAAAGACTGATATCGTGTCGGCACCAGAGATACCTGAGGTTCGAAAAGCAAGTCTGGCCTTTGAAGTACTCATGGATATTTCCTCTTTGACATCGTCATTTCCAGTAATACAACTGCTCAGGTAAACAAAACTTTCTGTAATCCAATATATCGTCGCCCAAGTAGAGCACGGATTCATGCTTTCGCCAATCCTGGAATAGCACGTTACATTTTGTTGTTGCGAAGTACATTTGGTACCGAGCCACTTCACTTGTCATGTGGTTCAGTAGAAGCCGAACTGCTGTGATGTTTGAAGCGAGCAGGACGATGTCGTCGGCGTATTCTAAAATAGTGAGTTTGTGCCCTGGGAGGAGTTCGACACCACTATCCACGAGGCCCTCGACCGATAATTTAAGAGCGTCGTCAACTGCGAATTGAAGGGGGAACGTCGAAATAAGACACTCTTGTCGAACTCCATTGGGGACAACAAGGGGGAGGATGCTTACTGTAAGCTCTTACTCATTCTGAAGTATTACGGTAGAGGGATTTGATGATTGATACATACTTTTCAGGAACGCCGTTTCTCAACAGGCATTTCCACAGAACAGTTCTGTCAACCGAATCAAAGGCTGCTCTGATATCCGGGAATGCGGTGATGGCCGGTCTTCGGTAAGTGTGTCGATGTTCCAGCAGCTGACGGAGGATGAATATCTGATCGATGGGGCCTCGGTCAGGGCGAAACGCCTTTGCTCATCACGGGTTTTCTCCTCTCTGTGTGATGACAGTCTGTGAAGAACAGCAGACGCCAGAACCTTGTACGCAACCTGGGTTAATGTGATTCCTCTATGATTGCCGCAGAAAGTTCGTGATCCTTTCTTGAATACAGGGACTACGATCGATCCCATCCAATCCATAGGAACTTGCTCCTCTTCACATACTTAAGGGGGAACATATGCGTTAACTCTTTCACCATATCGCATCCTGCATCTTTGAAGACAGTTAGTGGTAGGCCGTCTGGGCCTGAAGCCTTGTGGAGCTTGAGGGGTGCAAATGGTGCTGGGCACTACGTTCATTAATAGGTATGGCAGTTGGCGCAGGGCGCAGTTGAATTGGGGCGATGACAGTTGGGATGCTTTGATGAAAGTGGTGCAGTTATAACTGGGAACTGAGCGTAGCCTTGAGGTATCCAACGGCTTTCTGGCACAGGTTTGTCCGAACTCAGTGGAGGGGCGCGCGAGCGGTATGCATTGTTGGCAGGAAGGAGCTTTAATTGCTGATCATGCCAAAGCAGGTCCGCAACGTCGCTACAACCTTCGGGGGTGCATTTCATGGATCAGGCGGACATTGGTAGGGTCCGGTTAAGGATTGTGTGGGTCATGTAGAAAACTGAGTTACTCAGTGGAATTCATAAAGAATTACCACTTTTTTGGTGTCAACCTCAACCCGTAATGTTGGACTCGAGCTAGCAACGCGGTCAAACGTTGCTTTAGTTCTTTGGGTGATCGACTCACAACAGTTATGTCGTCTAGATATGGCGCGGTAGCTGCGAAACCGGAGATCATAGTCGGGGATATCTTCACACCAAAAGGCAAATGAGTCTGTTGAAACAAGCCCCGATGTGTGTTGGTAGTGAGGAGCTCTTGAGTTTCCGGTTCACCAGGAGCTTGAAAATAAGCTTCCGCTAGGTCAAGTTTAGCGAAGCAGTGGCCGTCGTTTAAGATGGTGAAGATGTCTTCCGGTAAAGGCAGCGGATGACAATGCGATTCTAAAACGTTGTTTAGACCGGTGAAAAAATCTTCATTAATCCGGAGACTACCATTAGACATCTTGACAACCACCATTGGCGTAGCCTACTTTTAATACGTCACAGGAACGATGACGCCCAAGCGTTCCATGCATTATAGTTCCTGGTCTACAAGGGGCGGCGCTGCATAGGGCACTGGTCGCTTCGGACGAAGGACGGGTTTTTCTCCCAGAATAAGGTGGACTGAGGCTGTTGCTCGGGTGCACAACTCAAGACCCCCTTAAAAAACCTCAGAGAACTGTTTTACAACAGCCGACCTGGGTGAGACTGCTGAAGGTGATCATGGAGGTAATTACAGACGTCCCGTAGTGACAATTCAAAAAGATGTAAACGGGAAATCCAATTCAGACCAGGAACCTCAAGGTGTGTGTTGGAAAGATAGCACAACCCTTCACCCCTGGTGTCTCAGAACGTCATGGTACACCGAAAAGAAACGACAAGTTTCACAGACCCACTGCAAGCACTAGTGGCTGTGTTAACCGTCTTTTCAAGTGGTGGACGATCGATTGAGTGCTATAGCCGCCTGAAGACAATGGTGATGTCCGAAGCCGTGTCTAGTTGGAGTTGGGCAGGATGACCATTGGTCTGTACAATAATGAACTGCCGGAGAACCACATATTCTGTCAGGAAGCGGGCTATTAGGCTTCGCGAATGGCCGATTGACTTATTGCGTATAGGATGGCATCGGCGGATTGATGTCTTAGGTCGACTAGAATCGGTGTGAGTCTCACGACATTACCCGTCTTTGTGACCATTATCTTAACATCGTGAGCAACGATTTCGAAGAAAGTGACAAAATCGAAGAAAATGCCAAGCTCTGCAGTGTTCACATGGAGAAGGAGGGTAGCTATCATTGCGAGGTGGAGATGGTCGCGACCATAATGGAGAATCTTGACGTGAAGTAACGGTATGAATGACTTACGAGGGGCGATCCTGTTGTTGAAACATGGCCGAATCATGCTTCAAGTGGACAGTGCGCTCGTATTCATCAATCAGTTCTTGAAGCTTAATTCAGGGTTCTTGGTCGATCTTCGCGAGGAAACGGGTTCTAACGTTCTCGTACCATGGTGCTTAAGGACCACAGATAAAAACAACGCAACGGAATTGATCTTCGTTGAGAGACCCCAAACAGAACCGTTCACATTCTCTGTTACCCAAACCACCGTATGGCACGAAGTCATCGGAATCTTTCTTGACTAACTGGAGGCACTTGGATGAAACATTGAATAAAAAGGCTGTCTGGCCGAATATTTTCTTCAAAGTCGATACAATATCACTAAACGATCAAGATCGAGGCTGAGCAGGGAGGATGTAGTTGGTGTATCTGACATGCTCAGCAGGGCTCAGTCTCCGGAGCAGTGGACGAACTTTGGTTTCGTCATCCTGGGCAGCGAGTGATACGGTAAAAATATCTTCATAACGTTTATACCAAGATTAAAATGTGATTCATGCCTCCGGATCATGATGAAAATCGAGGATGTTTCGTACTATATGATCAGTCGTACACAAAATAACAGTTGTGGATGGTCCCTTATTTGTCAGCCTTGCAGAGATGAGGCCCATCAAGCGCATTTGCGCCTTCATCATTTTCTTCAAATCAACCTCCGTTGAGTCCGTTTTTGCCATGAGTCAGTGTTCCTGTCGCCAAATATATTGTGTCTTCCACAACAATCTCCGAAGGTTGCGACCTTTAAATGAATTAACCGGATATTAGACGCTCAAGCGTCACTTGGACACGTTCCGGCACAACGACTTTCGCAATTGAGTAGTAGGAGATTAGATTTGTATGATATGATTCATCATGCAGCTTCAACGCTCAACTCACCACTGAAAACCATGGAACTACTGTACAGTTGTTTCATCCTTGTTGGGAATCATCAGCAGTGCACATCCACCGAGCCATGTAGTGTAGATGTTCAACAAACCGTTGAGAGCCAGCCCGGATAGCATTGTGGTTAAGGTGTTCGATTCACAATCGTTCACCCCGTGTTCGAGTCCCCGTGGGGGCTCGGTGGATGTGCACTGCTGATGAGTCCCAACAAGGATGAAACAGCTGTACAGTAGTTCCATGGTTTTCAGTGGTGAGTTGGGCGTTGAAGCTGCATGATGAATCATATTATACAACGACTTTCGTTGGATCGCAAAATATGGTCGGCAATGGAAGCGCACTAGTCGAAGGTACACCACCCACTAACTTCAATAAGAACACAGGTCAAAGTGTTGACTGACGGAGCTTATTGTCTCATTGTACACCTAGGTCATGTGGTTCGGGGAGCGCAGAACTCGGCTGCGCATATAGGTTCTGCTAGATTGCAGTCGATTGACCTTGGAAATCAGTGGGCAGCCAGGGCAACCAATCAATCGGAGGACAGCGACATGGATGTTACCAATGTATCGTGGCGCGATAAGATACATATTTAAATTTGCAAATAAATAGATAACTAGAATGATTAGAAGAAATAGGATCTTTTTAGGGAAAATAATAACACTATTGTAATCAGCGCCTTAATATTGAGGAAACTATACTGTCTCCTCAACAGAAAGTTAGACGCAAGATACCTTTAAAAGGTACCTGCGGGGTTGTGTTCATCCCTTCCCATGAACAGAAGTCGAGCTGCGCACTATTAGTGACGAAACTCCTCTTAGCAATCGAAAGGAGCGAACGAACCCCCAAGGGATGATGCCGATTGGTTATTACTCCAAATTATCAGAAAAAGACAGGATATCTGGTGAAAACCACGGAAGCAGTGCTTGCAAACACTACTCTCCTGTGATTGTCCAACGCCCGCGAGCGGGTTGAAAATGGCCTTTGACTCAGTTTACCACATTAAAGAGTATACCAGATAAATGCATCTATTTTAAAGTCCCTGTATTTAGAGTCCAAACCGACTTTTTGCCTATGTCGTTCGTCAGGGTTTCCCATTGGCATCCTTCCTTTTTAACTTTGCAGTCGAGACAACCACATAGGTAGCCCCATCTTCGTGTGAGGAGGATAGCGGTGTCGGTCGTTGCTCGGGTGGTAAACTATCTGACTTAGAACATACAAACGCCGTAGTTCTTCTGGGCGAAGACTCAAGTAGATTTTAAGCTCTTCTACATTGTACGAACAACATTGCAGCAATGTTTGGGATGCTTTTTGCACCTCCGATGGGTAAAATGCTGCAGCAGAACTCGGTTGGTCCCACAGAATATCCTAGTAGGTGAATCATCTGCTGAAGCAGAAACGGTTTTCTACCTTGACGGGTACATTCCGCTCAATGGCCGGACACTGAGTAAAATGTGTCGAGTGCAAAGGGTGCGGTTTTGTACAAATCTTAGCCACATGTGGTGTCAGCGTGATGTCTGACATCATGGTTAAGTGTACGCTGCGGCAATGAGGTCAGTTCTGTCGAATGTCATCGAAACCTGACTTATGGGCGGAAGGCGTATTCAGTAGACAGCAATTTGCTGTTGTGCAGCTCGCAACCACACCTGACCTATTGGGACTAAATGTGGTGCTCGGATTCAAGCCTCACTGTCTGATTATCGGTTATCTCTAATAGCGGAGTAGGCCTTTAAGGCCATGCGTGTACCTTTTCCATATGCTTTGGCAAACAGTTACTTTTAAAATAAAACTCGTAGAAAAGTGTTCCACATACCCCAGGTGTACTTCCACTCTGTGTATTGTTCTCCAAGTCGGGTAATCGTTCGTTGATAAGAAGTACTACACAACCAGGTTGAAGTTCACGAGATCCGTCTACCGAATGATTTAAGATATTAGTTAATATGGCTAAGTTCCACGATCAGTGGCGTACTGACACTCGAGTTCTTTTATCGCCCAAATTGTTTGCCCTTGTATTCTACGTGATACGTTCTGCTCGTCGTGATTCTTTTTATTTTTATTTGTTTAACTTCCACCTTGGCAATAGTTTGAGGTCGAAAACAAAGCCAAAGTTAGTGAATAAATGAACTGGAATAACACTGAGCCGTGGCATAACTTTCCAAACTTGAACCACAAGGCTGCTCTTGTTTTTTCGAGTTTACAAATCCCCTGTCTTTTCAAGTAATCATATGATTTTCCCAGTATTTCACACAGACACCGTTAATTTTTTCAACTAGCTTCTGTCCGTTTTAACCACATAGGTGTCCAAACGTGGATTATTGTACCACAGAACAGCCATACTGTAGATCTTCTACTTTGCGTCGAAGAGATACGAATAGTATCGATCCAGATAACGATCGTCTTCCACCACCACCACTTCGGCTATCTTGGCCTTTATGCACGCTCCGCCGATTCGGATTTTACGGCAATACATTGTTCAAACTGGAAGCTGGTCGTCGGGCTCCTAGAGGTGAAGGGCACTATTTGTTCCGGATTCGAAATTTGCGCGATTTCAGGCAGTATTTCGAAGTGAGTTTGCTTATGTTGACCGCTTATCCTGAGGCGCATGCGCGTGGACGTTTCATCGTGTTGTCATCTATGTATATTGTCATTCTTTAGAGCTGGTTGTCAATTCCAACAGTATTTCACTGAAATGGACGGGCGGATTGGTTTTCGTTTTCACTTATATTTCACTGGTATGTGTTCGTGTTTGTTTGTTATTGGATGCCAAACTAGAATCCGGAGACGGTGAATTGCACTGTTTGGTAAATGTCGGATTGTTCGTTTTTTGTAAGAGTGATGGTGTTTGTTTGTTCTCATCATTTCAGTTGAGTTTTTTCAATCGTCAACCCTACACATCGTTGCCCTATTTTGGTTTGCTATCTTACGGTATCACCGGCTGGAGGAGATGAAATTACCCAAAGCATACGGAGCAAAAGTACCCCTTAAAATTGCATGAATGAATATCAGGTTTATGAAAAGATGCAAGTATGCCACTGATCATGGCGCTTGACTATGTTACCCAGTCTTAGGACCTCCGGCAGGCGGATCTTGTGGACGTCGATTCTTTTAATATACTGTAAGGCTACCTCAGGTATTTAATGAACAACTTTTGATCACGTCGTTTTTGAGGTAAGAACCCTTTTAGAACTTGAAATATATATTGCATTGGCTTGAAATCAAACATGGTGCGAACACAACAACAACAGTTGCGGACATGTGAGAGGGTACGACTTAGTATATAAAGCAGTCATTGGATTAATTGCTTTTTTTCGTGGTTGTTCGCGTTGTAGGCTGTTGTACTACTCGGTCACTCGGTCCAGAGTAGGCCTTTTTATTTAGGAATGCACCTCTAGTCTTTGTGCAATCAAGCGCGTCCTGCAGTGCAGCAGCGTTGGTCCAGATGAGCCGGTGATCGATTGTGTGGTTCATTCTGCCTCTTATGGGGAACCTTGTCGGGTAGGTGGAACACGACAAGGAGCTATGGCCTTATTTAATGGTGGATCATACTCGCCACGTCACAGTGCCGCCAGCAGTTGTGGCGTTTTAGAACTCTGCTATCCCCAACCAATCCCTCGGCTACGAACCGGGGTTACTTCCAAGAAGCGAAAAAGAATTGGAAATAACTGTTAAGCATATTTGTTCTAGCCTCACATGTGAATTGATTCACCATACAGCATCAATCCAACATAGAAAACCGTGTAGAGTATTGTACAACTGTTTCATCTGGTTTGTCAGGAATCATCAGCGATGTATATGCAGTGAGCCTCAACTGGGACCGAAAGCCGGTGCACATGATTGTAAATTAAACACGTTTCAAAGAGGTGTTATATCATACATCATTGATGCGAGAGAGGTCGTTCAGAAACAAGTTGGATAACCTACTAGTGGAATGTATGATTCAAAACAATAACCACCGGGTTCGAGTCCCTGTTGAGGATCGGTGCTTTTCTTATGATTCCTAACAGGCCAAATAAAACAGTTGTTTAATAGTTTCACACAATTTGACGATGAGTGTGTTTGCCATGCGTAACACGCCCCAATCAGCAAAGTCTACTAAGCTATGTACGCTGTTTCAGAACGTCCTGTGAACTGATACCCAGTACTCGATTTCTGACCTCAGCATTGCTCACTCGGCCATTCGACTCAATCCTAGCAATACTATGCAAGTATCGGTGGTCGGAAACCTCAAGACGACGAATATCTTCTGCACGCAGGCCCCAAGTCTCGCAACCATACAATAAAATTGGACGCACCGCGACCGAGTACACACGACCTTTTCAACTTCAGTGAAATATAAGGTCGGCGCCACAAGTGCTTCCGTCCAGCGTATGCCGCTCGAGCCTTGGATATCCGCGTGCTCACTCCTACTACAGTGCTCCCATACGTCGTCACGCTGCTTCCGAATAACTAAAGCGGTCAACAACTGTTAGTTCCTCCCCATTGAGCATCAAGCTCGGAATTGTTGACATCCAGTCTTACAATATCACTTGACATTTAGAAGGTGCAAAGCGCATGCCGAATGAAGGTACAACTCTTCCGGACCTATCTAGTGCACGTTGAGCATGTTCCGTAGATTCGAACAAGTTGACAACGTCTTCCGCATAATCTAGGCCACACAGCTTTCCATCGTTTCCTATATCGACGCCTACATCCTGAAGATTTTGCAAGACATTTTCCATTATCTCGTCCATGACGAAGTTAAACAAGAATGGAGACGTGGAACATCCTTGTCTAACACCGTTGGTCGTTTCGAACTGACCGGATAGTTCACCGTAAACCCTTACACGGCGAGAAGTATGAGAATACAGTGATCTTAGTAGGTTGACGAACTTCTGGGCATACCTTTTCGATGAACAGCACTGCAAAGCGCTGTTCGAAGGCTCCCTTCAAGTCAGGGAAAACCATTATTGTCGGTCGACGGTGTGTGTGAGGCGCCCCAACTATTTGACGGAGTAAAATCTGGTCGATGCATCATCGACCTGAGCGGAATCCGGCCTGCTGTTCGCGGTTGGTACTCGTGAACCGGTGTGAGACGACGCAGCAAAATCGAGGCTAATACCTTGGTGTCCATCGAAAATAAGCTAATCCCACGGTGGTTACTGCAGTCATTACGTATTCCTTTCTTGAAGATGAGTACAATGAATGATTCGCCCCATAATCACGGAATATGCTCCTCGTTCCAAATGTCACGGAGCAAGGTCGTACGTGATTTTATCAACGCATCACCACCCATTTTGAAAAGATCTGGGGAATTTCGTCAGGACCAACCGCTTTCCCACGCCTTAGTGATTGAATACATGACTCCACTTCTACTTCCGATGGGGGCTCAAGTGATACTCTCCAAGTAATCGCAGCCGTTGAGAGAGGAGTAACTAAATAAGCCCGCAGCCAGCTAAACTACTCCTTGGAGTATTCAGTCCAACGGTCGAGCCTTAGCTGTTTGCCATGATTAGGTTCTCTATTTCTATCGCACATCGTTTCACTGACTGGAGTTCGCTGTCCGCGGATGTCGCGAATAAGTTTGAACAGTCTTTGACTGTTATCTGAGGCAGCTGCGATTTGCATTTCTTCGGCTACCTCGACCCACCAATTTTGCGGTCCTTCCTACTGCTTTACGTAACGATTTTGCAGATGTTTTCGTGTCCTATTCATCTCCCTACAGTTGAAGAGTTGACGCTTTTACTCCATTAGACTGAGGGCTTCTTGAAAAATCCGGTGTATTTGATGGACATCGGATCTAGGGCCACAGATGAAACTTTCTGCCACGTGCATCGCCTGTTTGACATGGGTCCAGTGCTCATCTACATTTCTGCTTGTCATAGTTCCTAGCTCATGTGCTAATTTTGGTTCCTAACTGGTGCGAACTTCTGGGTCAAACAGACTTTGCACAGCTAACCGGGCTTGCGGTTTTCGTCGATGACCATGTAGTTGGCGCGACAATCGCATTAAAACTAATACATGGTCCAACTTTTCTTAGATGGACCAGTAAGATCTTCAGTTCTGAAAAGAACTGCATCATCCGTAGCTTACTGCGATATGATCGATCTGGCTTAGAGTACCTGTAGCGTTAGAGCGACATGTCGCTGTGCAACGCGAGCTGTGTCGGAAATTAGTACTAGATAGGAATAACCGATTTTCTGCACAGAACTGGAGAAGCTTATCCACGTTATCTGTACGCTCAGCGGGTAAAGCACAACAACCACCTAAGCAAGCTTCTGAGACACAAGGTTTGCCAATCTGTGCATTTAAATCATCAGCTAGCACTACATTGTCAGAGCCTTTACTCTCGGGAACGAGAGTGAAGAGTTCACCATAGAACTCATTCTTCTGCGTGTCAGGGCTGCAGTCTGTTGGGGCGTATGCCAAGATCACAAACAAGCTGCGCTTAACACAACTATCCTTTCGAACGCCAACTGACTCCTCGAGTCTCAGCACATAAACGACTGTTAACGGGGATTCAGTCTAACAGGCAGCTTCAGCCTTGTCAGTCAAGACTATTCGTACACCACGTTGATCCGCAGTTCTAGCTACTTCGTCTCCTGAAGTGCACAGGAAATACCTTGATAGGTTACCAGGAGTAGTTAGTTGAATCACATTGCTCGAATCCTGGATACGCGTTTCACTTACGCATCAGACATCAATCTTCGGAGGGTCTATTGTGAGGGTTAGACACGCCTGCCAATTGGTCTGCGTGAGTGTACGCACGTTAAAGGAGCCGAAAGTCAAAGGCTGACGAAGCTTGAGAAAATGTGGGCTGCAAAATAGAAGATTGTTTTCGACACTATTTGACATTGAACCGTTGCTAGTATAGGGCGTGTGATTAGTGGGAGCATTCTCGGTGGATAGAGGGGGCAAAGAAAGGTGGCTGGGGACAGAAGACAATGGTTGAATAAAAGGGAACTGTGAGCAGTAGCCCACTTATCACTACCCACCCCGTTCGATGCTATACGCAGCGCGGTCCTGATTAAACTGAACGACGACCGATGCAGTATGGGATTCTTTGTATTAGTGCAGTTCATGGCAGTTGTTGAACTGATGCTTCTAGTGGGTCCATCTGATGCGCAAGACAACGATTGGGGTTCTTAACCAAAGCCTTTATTTTTAACAAGAATTTGTCTGCAGGGCATCTGGGTAGCTGAGTGGAAGCCTATTTACCTAGATAAATTATTCCTCTGTTTATGCATCAATGTATGACTGTCTGAAATAGTCACCGAGGGCGAAGTAAAAGGTCAGTAGACCTGGATTTGTAAGGTCTTTGGATTGTAGTCGGTTGAGGGGCGGGAGAGGGAGGGGGCGAAACTTTGACTAGAACACCCACTTGAGGCACTAGCGCCAGTACTATCGGCGCTCTTCCCCCCCCCCCCCCGCGTCACTCCCTGTGCACCTCGTATATTCTTTCTGTTGCTACGTACGACATGGTGAGAAAGACAGTGGTCAGTGGGGCTTGTCCTGCTGTTCAACGCTGCTCGATAATGATGATCGCGACAACGCCTCTCGCTCCCCTTGAATTTTTGAGGTAATAACAT